CACTTCTTTGCCAATCCCTACAGTTGTAGGGAAGTGAAAAGCTGATCAAAGGGGAGGGTGTATAAATCGCTTTCTTTAAATTGGGGTTTAAAAACCAAAAAAAAAAAAAAAAAACCGAAAGTAATGGTCCTGCCCATTAAGTACACATGATGCTTTTAGTTAGATTAGAAGCATACCAGAATTTATGCTCACGATCAGCCAGTTGTTGATGGTGCCACTTCATGGTCTGAGGACATTTCAAAAATGTTGAGAAACTGTGAAACACTACTACTCATTGAAATATCTATCTTGGTGTTATCTATATCTATGGAAAGTGGCATCATCTATTTGGGGGTCGACAATATTAATTCTAGCTATGATTGAGAGAGTTAGAATCTTACGTGTTTGTCACCTCTCCAATTATTTCTCCATTATGTAGGATTTTTTTTGGCCCAAGCACTTATTTATTAAGGAGAAACTGATCCAATTCGAAGTTGTTGATGTTTATACTGATCGATCATAGAAGAAAAATTCTGATTCATTCCGATTAAACGTCATTCCTTTTAATCTGGAAGTTCATCTCAGAGACAAGGAAATGATTCAATTCTAGAGCCAAAGATCGTAGTTCTCGAATGAGCAATCGAAAAGATTCTAGAGCATCATCGGGTTTAGGTATTGGTCTCTAATAATTGTAATTAAGTTAAACTGAATTATTGGAGTAGTGGTCAATGACTCCATTTATGTAACTATTAACTTCCAAGGGTTTGACTATTCTTAACTAATTAAACTTCGCTTTAATAATTGTGCTAGACTATAAGAAATGATCAAGTGATCATTACCTATATGAGAAACGGACACTTATAAAAAGTGCAATTCTTTATATGCTAATAATAATAATTTCATTTGCCGGGCGAAGGAGGAGAAAAGAATGAGAATATTATTAATATATTTTACAATCTTGGTGCCTAATAATTAATTGCATAGCCTGCGGTTATTAAAGGCTTTAAATATATCTAATTGAGAATATTTTCGTTCAAATCAGACTAAAACATTTGGCCTATTCATTGAAAATATATTCTAAAAATCACTTTAGATTTATGGTCAAGGTTTTTGCCTAATTTTTTGCGTGAGAAATGATTTAACGCCAAGAGGCTTGGACGTGTCTCCAAATGAAAAACAGATCGAGCTTTAACAATCCGTGAGAAGTGAAGAAATTTAGACCAAAATGTGTCATTCCCCAACTCTTTCAAAGACAAATTTACTTGGTTGGGTTTCAGTCGTTTCACGACCCCACCAACATGTCTTTTTGTTGAAGTGCAATTTGTGGTTGAGGGCTTGAAGGAACAGTACGTGGCTCAGTTACAGCTTGTAATTGCTTCTGCTAGAGTTTTTGTCACGTTTCGTAATGATTTAGAAAGAGCTTCTTGGCCTTTATAAGCTAAATGTGAGGCGCAAATTGGAAGAAAACAAAATAGATGTAACCATTTTTGAAATTTATTTTCAGTTATCAGACTTTGCTCGTCATGTTTGTCAGGCCTTTCGTGACCCTTCCTTCATCAAAAGTCATCAGCCTAAAAAAGAAAGGGATCCTGCGAATTGGTAGAGTCAGTTTCTGACTATCAGATTTAATAAAAATCACATCACATTAAAAAAATATTTAGAACTGTTGAGAAAAATATATGTGTGTGTTACCCCACATAGAAAGTGGATGAGGATACATGGAAGGACCTTAGAAATTAGGCTCCTAAAGTGTGTTTGGTCAATTTCACATATGGTGTCTTCCCAACAACTAGTATCAGTGATGTGGTGAAGATTAAAAAAAAGTCAAGATAATGTCCGGGATAAAATTTGAGCAGATTGAGCTGACAGCGTACAGTGAAGAGAAGCCATAAAAGATGAAATATGAAAATTGAGAAGAATTAGAAGTGAGAGCAGTAAACGAATGGTAAGCACTATTCGTTTAAGTTTGGCTCATGAACTGAAATATAGTGTTATGAATGAGACATCTCCTTATAAGTTGTGGAAAAAATTAAAAAAGTTTATATATCAAAATCCTTAACAAATAGATTATATTTGAAGAAGTAATTGTATGAGTTAAAGATGTATGAGAAAAGTGATGTTAGGGGCCATATAAATAATTTTAATAAGTGCATAACTCAGTTATTAAGTGTAGAGGTCAAAATTGATGAAGAAGATAAAGCGGTAATTTTGTTGGCCTACCTACCCAAATCATATGAGACTTTGGTGATTACACTTTTAGTTAGAAAAATGACGTTGACTATGGATGCGTTGTCAACTGATATATTAGAGACTGGAAATATGAAAAAACCTAGTAGTACGTCTCATATTGAACAAGTTTTAGTGGCAAAGTCAGATTCAGATAAGGGTAGGAGCAAGTCGCGAGGGAGATATTATGATAAAAGTGATGATCGTTCCCAATCTCGTCCAAGAAAGGATATTGAGTGCTACTACTGTCATAAGAAGGGACAGTATAAAAAACTGTGAAGAACTGACTAGGCATTTAGAATAAAGAAGCAAGAAATCCAAGAGACTTCAGATTCTGTAAATATTGTTGGCGACATGTATGACAGAGTACGGTGAAAGATGTTTTGATTCACCAGAGATTACTAAAAGCGCTACAAGGAGAGAAGTCAGAAAAGATGAAATATGAAGATTGGGAAAAATTGGAAGCGAGAGCAGTAAGCACTATTCGTTTAACTTCGGCTCCTAAACTGAAATATAGTGTTATGAATAAGACATATGCTTATGAGTTATGGAAAAAATTAGAAAAAGTTTATACGTCGAAATCCCTAACAAATAGATTATATTTGAAGAAGCAA